TTGCGTGAGAAATTTTAATATAACCAGTGTTACCGCGTGAGAGGTTTCAATACAAGTTAGTGTTTTTGCGTGAGAAATTTTGATATAACCAGTGTTACCGCGTGAGAGGTTTCAATACAAGTTAGTGTTTCTGCGTGAGAAATGTTAATATAACCAGTGTTTTACCGCGTGAGAGGTTTCAATACAAGTTAGTGTTTCTGCGTGAGAAATGTTAATATAACCAGTGTTTTACCGTGTGAGAGGTTTCAATACAAGAGAGTGTTTCTGCGTAAGAAATTTGAACCTAACTAGTATTACCGCCTGCGAGTTCTCAATTCAAGACATTTTTTTTTCTTCGTGTGTTACCCAACACCATGACAGGTGCCTCGTGTGGTGACTACTCACCCTTGCGGAGTACCGACGTTATGTGGTGACTACTCACCCCTGCGGTGTACCGACGTTATGTGGTGACTACTCACCCCTGCGGAGTACCGACGTTATGTGGTGACTACTCACCCCTGCGGAGTACCGACGTTATGTGGTGACTACTTACCTCTGCGGTGTACCGACGTTATGTGGTGACTACTCACCCCTGCGGAGTACCGACGTTATGTGGTGACTACTCACCACTGCGGAGTACCGACGTTATGTGGTGACTACTCATACCTGCGGTGTACCGACGTTATGTGGTGACTACTCACTACTGCGGAGTACCGACGTTATGTAGTGACTACTCACCCCTGCGGAGTACCGACGTTATGTGGTGACTAATCACCACTGCGGAGTACCGACTTTATGTGGTGACTACTCACCACTGCGGAGTACCGACGTTATGTGGTGACTACTCACCCCTGTGGATAACCGACGTTATGTGGTGACTACTCACCCCTGCGGAGTACCGACTTTATGTGATGACTACTCACCACTGCGGTGTACCGACGTTATGTGGTGACTACTCACCACTGCGAAGTACCGACGTTATGTGGTGACTACTCACCACTGCAGAGTACCGACTCTATATGGTGACTACTCACCACTGCAGAGTACCGACTCTATGTGGTGACTACTCACCACTGCGGAGTACCGACGTTATGTGGTGACTACTCACCACTGCGGAGTACCGACGTTATGTGGTGACTACTCACCCCTGCGAAGTACCGACTCTATGTGGTGACTACTCACCCCTGCGGAGTACCGACTTTATGTGGTGACTACTCACCCGTGCGGAGTACCGACTTGTGGTTCTTAGTCGGTGTTCATCACGCCTTTTCTTCGTTTAGAAGCAGCATCGGTTATTGTAGCTGCTGTTTTTGTATCGATTATTGACAATGTAGTTCCTATTTTTGTTGTGTTGAACACTAGTATTTTTTATCTACACACATTCAATGCTTAGATAAACGTCATTCATTCCATTACATTTTTAACACAAAACATTCATCAATTCATCAATTCGAACGTATGTCTCTATATGTTTAGGATCCATCGGTTATGTGCTTTAAACCTCATATATCGAGTGATAAACAGCTGTTATTTGAACATTCGACTCTATTTCCAAACAAAAGCGTTGATGAAGACTGGAATACTACCTGTAAGGACTGATATCTGACGGTTTTACTGCAATGTACAATGAATATGCTGAGAGAAGGTACTCCTTCGAGTTTCACTGACTTTGTATGGATATATAGAAGCGGCTCACATGCGATAGTAAGTAAATATCTATGTTTTCTTAAAACGTATAATCGATAGCCACGGCGTGAGACTAGATGCAGTTTTGTCTTCTTTTTTTTTGTTCAGGGAGAGAGCAGAACTGCTGTAGCTCGCTCGTCACGTTATCCGAAGAGGCGACTGATGTCGGGTCAACCTGCGGTAGTAGGGAGGTTCTTTTGTGTTTTGTTTTTAGAAGTATGTTACTTCTGAGGAAAGGAAAGTTTACGAAAGCGTAACATTAACGTTACGTTTGTCATAAGGGTTGTTAATATTAGTATATTTCTATATAGTCTATACAGTCAGATGCATATAATTGTTTNGGTTGGAGATTAGGAAAAGAAAATACCTGTTGTTATCCACTACCTGTTGTAAGAGGCAACTTACATATGGAAAATCACTGCAGAATCGGAGACTTGCTTTTGTGCTTTTTAAAAGGAGACATAAAAGTGACCGTAATAAATGTTTTGGTCTTTCTCTAACTCCTTTTTTATTCGTAGCGCCTTCCTTGGTAATACCTCTCTTTTGGCACTTCTCGTTCGTCAAGGAGAGGACGGCAATGGGTTCTGTCCCTGGATAGGGATGTACTGAAGTCCTAAAAAAGGTAGTTGTTATTCCCCTCTTAACGTTCATTGTAACGACAACTCTATAAAAACAAAATGTTTAGGCGACCATATACATTAATTTTGTATGGCCATACTGTGCAGAAACGCCAAGGCATAAGGCTGAAGAAGAGAAGTCTGTGGTATCTTTAAAATATTCTTTATGTGAACATAAACGGAGCACAACACGCCGGCAACATAATAATAATTTTATTTTTAATCTTTTGACCTAAGTTGAAGCATGCACTTTTGATTTGTTCGACCAATATAATGATTTTTTTAAAATGTTATCCATCCTTCCTAAGGACACTACACATATAGACATACCATTGAAATGTCTTAGCACTTGTATGTGCGTTTGATACGAAGCACTTGCGATGAAACCATGGCCCTACAGCTTGTCACGATACAAATGTGTGAGAATTGGGATAAATACATCTCAAGGTTCAACTACTTCCACTTAAGCTGAGTATCGATAGACCACAGTTTGATATCGGCGGTATGTTCGCCTCTCTTGTTAGCATACAAATATGTATATGATCAAGTATTTGGTTTCAGGATGCAGCATTACTTATTGCAGTTGTCATTGATTCCCATATACCAGCTTTGCGCTTAAAGATGCAAAACCGAGCACTACCAATAATGGTGAAGTGCTAGCTCAGTTAGGAAAGCCATCTTCTTTGTTTGTTTAGGGTTTAACGTCCTAGTACCAGCTAGGGTTATATGAACACGGGTACCTAGGGAGATACCGCCAAAAGCGCGGAGTACATGTAGGTAGGAGGAGGAAAGAAAAGATAGATCCCAGATGTTAAAGTGGGGGCTACAGATTAAGTCTGGTTTATTTAATGTCAACTAAGCAGAAGTTACCAAAGTATATCCCCGATTCTGAAGGTGTGGGGCCATACAAGTGGAATCTGACGACATGCGGTGGGATACAGCAGGCCTTTTGTTTCATCGAACTTACACAAGGTCAGGAAGGTATCGTAGTTAGGAGGTTCTACGTCCGAATCCTGATCAACTGTATTTTACACGTTATTTCCATATAAGGAAGAGTAGTAATGGATTATATCAAGTGTGTCTAGGGGACATTGGAAATTGACTATAAAAATCGAACTACCGAGTATCGGGGCGAGAGGGGGAGTGGTGCGCTAAGCACGAGCAGCAGAAAAAATGTGTTAGTGGTGGTCAACGCATCAATCAGACCATTTTATGAGATAGTTGCGGCAAGGGTTCGTGTTGACAAAACGTTTAGCGTACACGTGGGGCAATAAAAATGACGGTATACATGTCTAGGTAATGCGCAGTTAATGGTATTTGGTATATTATTGGTGATGGGCGAATATTCGTAGCAGAATTTTATTGTGTCAAATATTTTCAATGAAAAACATTAACAAAAATCAAAACGCCTGCCACGTTTATAACCTTCATGCGAATTTTAGTAACACAACTGACTTAACGTTACGCTTGATCGAAGAAACCTACTACGGTACACTTTGTAATTTAGCCTGAGGGAAAGGCTGACTCCTCCAACACAAAATAATAAACATATACGTCCGGATGTCTGCAGGAAGTTGTGTCCACGTGAAATACGAGCAACGATACATCTCACACACATGTGTATCACACTGACATCTTCGACTCGAGACTGCTACGCTGTCCTGTACGAGATGACAGTCACGATCGAGGCATTAAGTAGTAAACAATAATGGGTGATCTGTATAGAAATTATTATACGTTTTGCAAGAATTGGATTTGCTCCGAATCGTATGTACTATCAGTGAAAAATCCGAGTTTTCCAAAAGGAAGGGTCCAATTTGTTCAAAGAGAGTAGAATAACTGCAGAATAGAATCCACGAAATTTTACTTTATATAAAGAAAGCCACGAACAGTGAGGATTCCCTGCTCCTACCGTTAAACATATAAAAATCACGTTTATATTTTATCGGTTAGTTACATTTTTGTTGTTTAGTTTATAAAATGAAATACCTGATACGTTTTCGAATTGAATGAAATTTTTAGGTTTCGATTCCACACCTGTACACCCTCTTACGTTGCAGGGTAGTTGCTAACCAAGGAATCGTGTCTTTTGGTTTTTGTAATGTGATCGGATTTTACAACTATATAAAAGTGACATGAGAACGCTTTTGTTAAATATGATAAAATACGAAAAACACTCAACCCATTTATTCATTCAATAACTCGATAGGTGTACATGGAATAGGGAGAGTGTTTATAATGTCTTATTTTGATATCGCTCATCTGTAATACTTCATTATACGTAAATAAATATACTTGCATATAAATAAAATATGTTTATCAATATGTGCCGTGCCAGTAGTGGTAAAACCTATATTGGTTTCATGACGTATATAATGCCGAAAGACAAGTACAGCTATTAAGGGAGAGGCGTCAGTGGTCGTACAATATAATGTAGGAATTTACAATACGTGTGTAGTATAAATGTAAAGCATGTGTAGAATGTTACAAGTACATGTATATGAGAGCCAACTCACAACACTAGAAACTTTTTAAACAAGACATAATGGTCCCGACCTTCAGCCCTTCTAGTGTATTGGTAAAGTAGCAGGGGAAGTGTTGGTAAAGGAAACCAGACAATATATACTTATAAGATGTTTCTCAGTCTTTATCCTGTTTTTCTCTGAATACTAGCATTAATAATATCAGAAAAGTATAAAGAACCAGAAACTTGCTTACCTTGTGCAGAGACAATCCCGTGCTTTGCCTTTCACTATTATACTGGACTCGGGGTTTCCCGAAATAATCTGTCTTATATATAGAAACACTAACATTGTAGCATTATCAATCTAACGTCACCGCCACAGCAGGGGACAGTAACCATTAAACAAAATATACACGAGGAGGTCTGTCATCACCACCACCACCAAAGTACTTAGCTGCATCGGTAAATGCCAGATAGGTTGATACTTCGGACATTGTATGTAGTAAACCGATGACATCTAATACTAAAATATAAATCGATAAGAGAATGATCTATATTTTCTGCAGCTACGGTGGTGATGGTGGTGGTGGTCGGGGTGTTGGAAGTGGTGGTGCTGATATTGTTGTTGGTGTTGGTGTTGGTGTTGGTGCTGGTGGTGTAAGTGGTGTTGGTGCTGGTGGTGTAAGTGGTGGTGGTGGTGTTGGTAGTGTTGATGGTTGTGGTGGTGGTGTTGGTGTTGGTAGGGGTGGTGTTGGTGGTGGTGGTGGTGTTGGTGTTGTTGGTGTTGGTGTTGGTGTTGGTGTTGTTGGTGGTGGTGTTGGTTTTGTTGGTGGTGTTGGTGGTGTTG